AAAGGCCATCTAAGTTCACTGGTGTTCAGCACCAAGATCGATCTCTTTAACCACCTGAAATTCAAACATATCGAATAATCTTTTAGTTTATTTTGGCAATTCACTAAATTCACTCTTTTAGTTTATTTTGGCAATTCACTATTTTTGTGTTTTACATTTTATTAATAAACATATTTTATTTTTAATGTATTAATTGATTTGTTTTTAAGGAAAAGCATTACATATCTACATGTATTTACCTATGTTTTTATAATATTTGAATATTATATCTTCAGTTATTTCTAAGTAAAGTTCAACAGAAAGGTGAATCCAGGAAAGGGTAAAAATCTGCTGTTCATTATGTATAAAAAAATGGAATGAGCTACCCAGGTTACTGAATAATCACTTCAAATAATCATGATTTCCATATCAACCAAAACAATCTTGACTCTATTGTTGTCCATAATCTAGCAGCCCTGACATCTGGGTGGTTGGATTTGACCTTTTGTTGTTGTTGCCTAAAACCATTTGAATCAAACTACAAACCTCTACTCCGTCCTGTAGTTTGAATCAACCATGGCTGCTGTTGATGTGTGGGCAGTATCTTTGTTAGCTGTACAAACACACACAATGTTTCTCAGACGATCGATAAAGTAGAAATGTGCTACGTCGGGTAGGATACTCTGGTTGATTTTCTTTTTTTTTTTTTTAAGAATATGTCACATCCTATTGTGATAGGATACCAGTGTAAACTATTTTTAGAAAATAAAGGTAATTTTCCTGTGTAAAAACAACACCAATCATTAGCAGTAAATGTGGTAGGCTAACCCATTACAAAAAGGTTGTAGTAAACTCTGCTGTTGCTGTGCTGTAGTTCACTGTTCAGATGTTCAGACTCTGTTTCCAACAGTTTTTCCAACACAGAGGAGAGCTTATCCTCTCTTTACTTCATATAAACTGGAACGCTGCCACACATCAGCCTTTAAGACAGGAGGCGCTGGTCACATGTTCTCATCATTGAGCTGTGGTTCTAACTCAGCCATGGTAACTGAAGCGCTCGATTGGTTGAGTCTGTGGCATCACACCATCGGATAATTCAACCGAGCCCCTTGTTGACATTACACATGGCAAGGTTTTTTAAATAATTAATTATGAATTTTTAAAGTGCATTTTCATTGTTTATTAATCGCTGACATACGTATATCTCAGGAATAAAAGTCCAACTGTGCTGTTCTGTATTTTCAGACCAACTAAAACAGATGTTGGGCAGGGTCTGTGGTGATTTGTTACAAAGCAGAAAAGAAAAAAAGAGGACAACAATAGTCACGTAGGTAGGACTGAACGCACGTGTGGAGCACAAAAGTCTTATTTTTAGTAAATGCTGCTTCTGCAACAATAGGTTTCTTGGATTTATTACACGTTGTATCTACTATGTGGGACACCAGGCTGTATGCTCATTAAAGGGATGAGGTTTCTTCTTAATGTCTGTTGGTGAGTGATGCTGGAATTATATGGGACAAAATGATCTAGACCTTTGAACGAGAGCAAGTTAACACAAAATGTATCATTAGCAGTTGAACTCTATGAACTTTTTCGTGTCCATTCAGTCTATATGCCAAAGTCGAAATCACCGACACCAATGTGTGTTACATGGAAAGGTTCTATTTGAAAAATCAGTCTGTGGCTGATGGACCAGGGGTCACCAACGTGGTGCCCTCATTGACCACCTAAGGTCCATGATCCAGAATTATTTTGCTAAGTTGCTCTATCATCTCATTTTTTAAATCATCTTTGCAGCTGCTTTCTGCCGGTGGCGTCACCTTGCCGTTGAAGCTGTGGTATGAGCCTATGTGGCAGGAAGGCACTGACGTTGCTAAGCAGCGTGTTCGCTGTATGTGGCCTGGGCCTGCTGGGAATCGCCGTGAGCACCGACTACTGGCTGTACCTGGAGGAGGGGGTGATTCTTCCTCTCAATCAAAGCATAGACATACAGATGTCCCTCCACTATGGCCTGTGGAGGGTCTGCTTCTTGGTTGGTGAGTTTGCATTTAGTTTCAAACACAATATATCAGAACAATTCAATTGAAATATTGGGCTCCAATTGGTGAGACACCATGAAGAATGTGTGGTTGAAGACAAGGGTTGGAGAAGAGGAAACCTAGAATAATTTGTAGGTTTTTTTCAACTGTTACTGTTCATGCTCAAAGATGCATCTTTTACAGCGTCAGACATGATTACAGTCTGTAAAGCAAGAACTTTTTTAATTTTCAGTATGGACAAAGCATTATTATACACCGCAGCACTTGCTGATCTGTTGCACACAGCTCTGTGCCCCATCTGACCACTGAGCAGTCAGTGGTGATTGTTCAGTTGTGCTGAATGTGTAGCCAATGAAATAGTGATGTGATAGCACATGTAGGAGCCACTGCTGTAACAGACAAATGGTCCGGTGTGTGTGTTCTAAGGGCAATCGAGTGGCCTTATTGCCCATTAAAGTGATGCACAGTGTTTGACCCAGAAATAATTACTACATTCTCCCAACGACTGTTGTGATGCTGAAGGGCATGGATGCGTTTGTGCGGAACAGATGTGAGTTCATTGGGGTTTTAGCTCGTTAGTTTCTCCTTTAACATGAACTGCACCTTACTTTTATAACATGCGTGAATAGACTGCAAACCGCAATGACTAGAGATGAAATGTGGGGAGTTGATTATTTACAATAACAGCTATTTTAAAGTGTTAGCAGATTTGTGAGGTTTGCGTAGCACTGTGTTTTGTAACCAGACGTTTTAGCCATATGTGTTGTTGGTAAAGGGAAAGGTGCTAAAATATAAGTCTGGTTGTTTGAGTGCAGGCGTAAAGACTTAAACATTTGAATAATAACACACTCCTGATCACCCACTCTCCAGCCACTTCTGTGATGATAAAATCAAATGCTATATATTATATATTATACTGTACTATACTATACTATAATAGTACTATAATAATTTAAATACTGATGTATTAAAAGTGTGCATTTAAATATATATATTGTGTGTGTTTAATCCTTTTTTTTTTAAACATTCTTTTGTGTTTTTCCAGGGGAAGAGAAGGGCCGGTGTTTTACCATAGAGTATCTGATTCCCACTAACGTTCAGATGACATCTGAGTCGACTGTTAGTGTCCTCAGTAAGTAACTCCTTATTTTCCACTACTTTGGTTTAGTACTAGTTATATGTATCATCAATTGTTGTAGTAATTGTTAATTTTGTAGTCTCTTCTATTTTTTGCTATTTTGATGTTTTCAAGGGCGTTTGCAGTCACTAAATCAAACGGAAAAAAAAGAACTCTGTTGGAGTTGTGGTTTTTCAGTAGGGTAAGAGTCGGGGTTATAAAATCAATTATTACAAAAAGGTTTATACCGTATGCCACGTCTTCTTTTAAAACAAAAGTGAACAATTCAGTACTTTTGAATATATTATTAATTATTGTGTGTTGATCCCAGTTGTGACACTTCTAAACGCTATATTTTTCCTTGTCTGAGTTCAGAAATGATTCGTTCAGCCACACCGTTCCCTCTGGTCAGCCTCATCTTCATGTTCATCGGTTTCGTGCTGAATAACATTGGCCACATCCGACCACACCGAACCATCCTGGCTTTTGTTTCTGGAATTTTCTTCATTTTGTCAGGTTTGATCTACACGTTTGCAATAGTACAATCATTTAAGAGGCTTTAATTAATAAATAATTAAAAACTTAAATTAATTGTATTATCTTTGATTGTCTTAAGACAACATTTTAAGAAGCACGATTTAGTATCATAAACCAATGCCTGTGTTCTGAAGAATCTACCTGTACTGTAGTGTTTTGTCTGTCTCCTCCGTCAGGTCTGTCACTGGTTGTCGGTCTGGTCTTTTACATCTCCAACATTAATGATGAAGTTTTGAACAGGACCAAAACTAATGAGGCCTACTTCAGCTATAAGTACGGCTGGTCGTTTGCCTTCGCTGCGCTCTCCTTTCTACTCACTGAGGTGACCAACATGGGAAATATTGATACTGATATTGATAATATTGTTCCAATAACTGTTCACTTTGGATAGTGTAATTAAAGTCCATGACAATCTGCATATATGTGAAGGTAACAGGAACTTACCTTCTTGCTTCTTGCTACAGAAGTTAACAACTAAACTGTAGATAAACTTTGGGTCTACCTTTTCTTCCACTTATCCCCAGATGGCAGGCGTCATGTCAGTGCACTTGTTCATGAAGCGTTACACATCAGAGGAATTGTACCGACCACATCAGAACTTTTACCAACCACGCCTCAGCAACTGCTCCAATTATTCCGGCCAGTTTCTCCACCCAGATGCCCTGGCCGGTCGAGGCCGTAGTCCTTCCGCCATCTCTTCAGAGAACTCCTTTCAGATGAACTCCTCCAATTACCCAGCTCTTCTCAAGTGTCCAGAGTATGAACAAATGTCATCCTCACCTTGCTGAAGGAGATGGTAAGGGCAACGGGGGCGTCAATAAATCTGCCTGGATTTTGGCATTAAATTCAAATCTTGGTAAGAAACTATTGATTAATTTGTCCAAAACTTCAAGTTGTAGTGCGAACAAACCCAATGGCACAAGGTTATATATATTGCACATGGGCAGTGACATACAGGATGAGCGCTGACACTGACTGGATATACAGTATGGGTTTTGCACAAGATCCCCACAGTGTTAATGAAAAAGTTGGCCATTGCAGATCAGGCTTTTGACCCATGGTTTCTTCTTCTGGTCTGTAGGTTGGTCAACCAGTGCAGACCTACGTTCATGGCGGTTTGAGTGAACATTTTAAGTCCTAGCTAAACTTGGTGCATCTGATCACAACAGAACAGAACAGTGTTAATTAATTAATGTACAATAGAGATGTTAGTGTAAAATCAGGGGCTAAGATAAGACGCTAATGTTAATTTTACAATATGGAGCTCATAGTTTAATAAACAAAATTAATGTGAGTTCCATGTTGAATGAAAAAAAACTAAAATATATCAAAAAATATAAAGGATATTACATTTAAATACAGTAGTTCTAGCTATGACTAAATTTGGACATTATGAATTGCCTCTTCTTTCTACTGAGATACATTCATTCCAATAAAATATTAATATACTAACATTATAAAAACACTTACAACTTACAACACCTAAATATATTCAATGTATATTCTTTAATGTCTAAAGTAGAATATTTGACATGTACAGTACATATTTAACCCTCCCATTGTCTTTCGCATTTTTTACACAACCAGCCTCTGAATCAGAGTATGAGGAAAAGTTGGCAAGAGTCGTGAAGTACAGAAACTCCCACACACAAACACACACACACAGAGACACACGGACACAAAGGCATATTATCAGCCACTGGGTCACCCAGACCCAAAGCACAACACGAGCGTCAAGGTATTTAAAGTAAATGTCAAAGTACTAAATAGTAGCTGCTGTACTCTAGGTAGAGCATCAAAGTTTTCCTGAGAAGATTAACTGTTTTATACTGTAAAATTACATTCTACTGTCATTTTAGTTTCACAGGTCTGTAGTACTACATCTATCAGCAGGGATACTGCCAGCTCTGTTAGTATTTTCATCAGGCCTCTAGATCAGGGGTCCCCAAACCCCTGGTCCGGAGACCGATGCAAATCCTAAGGTCATTTGGTACCAGGCCACATTGGGACAGATTGGAAAAATGTACTTCAGTTTTACTAATTTACTTCTTTTAAAAAGAATCCAGTCATATCCCTTTATTTTTTTCATTTAAAGATAATCTGGCAGGCCATTCAGACTCTGATACTTACTGAATAAAAATTAAAAAAAATAAAAGATTTTTTATTCTGGAAAATTGCATGATCCTTCAACGATGGCGAAGTATTGCTGGTCCGCAGTAACGGCTGATCGGTCCTTGGTACAAAAAAGGTTGGGGACCGCTGAGCTATATGATAAATATAACATTTTTATGTTAGTTGCTGTATTTATAATTATTGTCAATATTTAATGTACAGCATATAGGAAAAGCATACAGAATAGAAAAAGAAAACAAACTTGTGCCTCACCTTTTTTATTGCATTTAATTTATTTATCTTAAACACTTGATATATCTGTTAACAGCGTGCAAATAAACACAATGTATAGACCAGTGATTCCCAACCACTGCGCTAGCACTGTAAAAAAAGAAAGACTCAGAGCAGTCGAAAAAGATCGTTGCGTATGTTTTTCTTTAATTCTTGCAAGTATACCAGCATTGTATTCAACTAATGTGGTCCAAGTTTTATAGCAAGTTATACATCTTGAGTAAATTGTAAACCAGAAAATACTTATGCTTCACTACCAATATTTGTGTGACATGTCTGTTTGGTGGTGCGGTGAAGGATTTCTCTAATATAAAAATGTGTGCCGTGGTTCAACAAAGGTTGTAAAAAAACTGATATACAGTATATTGATTCACTCGTGTCTATAAATTGCAGTAAATAAGACACGGTTGTTTCCTTCGTTTTTTTGCCATTTCATGGAAACGATTCTTCTCGTGTGAATGTGAGTTTCCTTAAGTTCGTGCATGTTTTCACTGTCTGTTATGTGGTGAAATTAACAGTGTATATATTTCCTTTAGGGAGAGGTAAAAAGTACAACGATGAGGTAGGTCAATGAATTAAAAAACAAGAAACTGCAGTTGTGTCGGCCCATGTATTATTATTAATCCATATATTCATTTATGAATTCCTCCCATTTTATTGAGCTGTGTTCAGGTTATATTTGAATAAAGTTTTGACAAAAGAAGATGTCAAATATAAACAATATGATGCGAAATGTCAGTCGGTGGCAATGGAGGATAGAAAGAGTACAGGTGGAGTCAAAAAGGTGAGGTCATGAAAAAGAAAGGCGTTGGAAGAAGATGCAGACATGTTTTCAAGAGGACAGATCCCAGTAGGCTACTGAAATATAATGTAGCAAACATTTGCAGTGTCAACTTATGGTAGGTTAGTTTATTTTGTAGAGCCCAATATACACCATCACAAATATTGAGATGGAAAAAAATCTATATATACATAGTTTAGAAATGTGATATATTGTAAGAATTTGACATTTGCTTTACACTTCAGTGAAGCTTTATTGGCAGTGCCTCCCCTTCCTTCATGGTTAAAAACGTACATAAGATAAATATTAATATTTCCCACTGATAAGTATGACTCTACACCTTAATTAAGTAAAAATAGCCAAATTTGAGTATTTTGTGATCAAATACAGGGCAATTTTGATTTCAAATGACACAGTTTTCCCCTTTATCAGATTTTTTTTACCTTTAAAACTTTATCTGATTTGAATTTAAAATTAATCATTGTGAAAGTGAAGTGTTTTATGTTAACTTATACCCAATAAAAAGGCATTGTAGGAGCTAGCTCCTGTTTCATTTATTCAAATTCCTTCTCCATAGCATAACTATTAACTAAAAAACTATTTGAAGTTATTTTGTATTTTGTATTTAAATTATTTATTTTGTTGATTATCACCAATGAGCAAAACGTTCTAAGAAACTAAACTCAACAAAAAAAAAAAAAGAATGTGAATGTCAGCGGTCAACTGTAGGGGGCGCGCTGATATTGGAACGTTTGTATAACAGAAATGGAAATACGTTGTACGGTCTTTATTTCCGGTTGCGGATTCGTCGCATGAGATACAAGTGTTAGCCGTTTGGGCTTCCAGGCGTTCAAGTAAAGAAACTGTGCACGGTAGCTACATGTGATTGATTGAAATGGTGGGTTTTTGAAACAATTGGTAGTTGTATTTAGTTTACAATGGTAGTCGTTCAGTGCAATTTTCGCTAGCATGTGTGTCTCGGCAGCTAACGTTAGCTTTTGTCAGAAGTTAGAAGTATTCGTAGATCGTTTTTCGTCATAAATAATGAGTATAGAGTTGTCGTGGTAAATAAGAAATTGGCATTTGACAGAAGTTTGAGCTGGGCTGATGCACCTTTTTGAAAAAATGAAATGAACTTGCAAATATTGCTTTTCTGTACAGAAACCCATCCTACTGCAGGGCATGAACGGTCCATCACTCAGATCAAGTTCAACGGAGAAGGAGACCTTCAGTTTTACGTCGCTAAAGATACAGTGAGTGACACGAAATGATTGCACTTAACAAGTGCCACCAATGACTATAGGATAATAAGTAGTTTGACGTCAACAATATGGAATGTCCAAGTGGAGCTACACATGGCGACATGAGTAGCAGAGTAATCCTCTGCTAGTTTTGACTTGCAATTGTGTTACAGTGTGTGTGATATAAAAATCATACTGTAATCATGAAAAGGGCACATAACTAAGGCCGGTAGAATTGATTTATTTTCATTCAGATTAAAAGGAAAATAGTGCAACATAGATTTCTTCCTGAGGTTATTGGTGACGCCAGTAGTGTAGAGCAAAACAATAATTTGTTTTGGCCAACATGTTATACTATTGTTATTCTAAAATTGATATGATGTGTATGTATAGTGAAGTATACCACATTATACCAATGATATGTATATATAAGCAGAACTAGTATAAATAAAGGGATGGTATATGAACAAGTGTATAAAATAAATATATATGAAATATATGCACAGTGTAAATAGATGAGTAGTGAAATAATTAAATTAAAAAATCAGTTAGCTATTTAGGCAGTTCCAGCAGACATTAGTGTATGACTATTTAAATGTATTTTGGATAATTTCCTGTGAAGTGTTTTACATTTTGGTATTTAACTTTTGCTCTCTGTCCCTTCTTTAATGTCTGCCGTCAGAACACAAGGGTTCGATTTCAGCGGCAACATCATCATGTTTTCCACAGGCAAGCAGATGGGCTGTCAGTGTTTCATGAACTTCTTCGACCTGAGGGATCCACAACAGATCTGTAGGTAATCGTCACGTGCAACATGAACATGAACAAAATAATACCGTAACCTGATTACTGCTAAAGAAATAGTTTGCACACAGTATTATAGAAATTAAATAGAAGAAGAGGACATAATGAATCACCGAAGCATCTGTTGTTGAGCTTGTTATAATCATGAACATGTTTTTTTTTTTTGTTTGTTTATTTCTAAATAGTCTGCAGAACTCCTGAAGGCTCCTAAGGAGCACAACAGGCACATCAATGACATCCAGACGTCTCTCGACCTCACCATGTTCATCAGTGCCTCAAAGGAGAACACCGCCAAGGTGAGAACTCCTATGTGACAGTAGTTCTGTGCCATTTGAGTCTAAATGATTGAAGTGTTAACAGTTGTTGAAAAATGTTATAAATAAAGTAATCAGAATGACACCTGGCTGGCCGTCAAGGAGAACGCCCAGAGATGAGATTTGTTTAACCTTCAAAGTGAAACCTGAGTTTTTAGTTTTTGAAGATAAATAAAGAAAAGTGTTGTTGTTGAAAGTGACTATTTGTAGCTGCTATTAAGGAAAATCTTCGTTTGTGTTAACATATTGTGGCACAATCTTTTCGTGTTCTTCTAATCTGCAGGTTCTTCCAAGCTGTGAACGAGGAGGAGTTTGACAGGAGTCAAAGGTCATTTTGGTCCCATCAACTGTGGTTCCTCCCCTGGCCGAAAGAGGTAAATGATTTCTGCTGAACCGAAGAAGCCTCTTGGATGAGAGGTAAAACGTCTTAAAAAAAACCTACTTCTTTCAGTTGCCCTCAATGTAAGTATTTTTGGATTAAATGACTGAGAACCTTGTGTTATTCCAGCTCATTGTTGTCATTCATTGTGCCTTGTATGCTATTGTCTTAACAGATAGAGGAACAATGGAGGAGAAGGCCTGTGAACACAGCAGCTTGGACTCTGCCAGGTAGAGTGAATGAGAAACTTTGTTTGAAGTAGATCACTTGTTTGCTGGACTTGTGAGTGTTTTAGTGAATTGTGTAATTGCTTGAGGAAAGTGTTCATTCCAGCTCATTCTATTCAGTGGGCCTTAATGCTATTGTCAGAAACCTAACTGTCACTTTTTGGCAACAGTCATTTTTTTGGCCATTGCACTTAGGGTTATTCCTTTCATGTTGTCATTTTGCCTTAATGCTATTGTACTTTCATTGTGAGCTGTTTGACTTAAGACTATTGTAAACCTTATAGAATAAGCAGAACTGAAGAAGCCTCTTCTTCTAAATGTAAAGAAAAAAAACAAAATTTGACTGAGTTTTTTTTGTTTTAGTTAGGTAAACGTTCATTGTGCCTTAATGCTATTGCACCTTTATTGTGAGCTTTATTTGATTGTTGTCAGCCGTCCAGAATAAAGAAAGTTGTTGGAATATTGTGTGTGGTCGGCATTTATTTCCAGAAATGATTTCTCATTGCCTTTTAGGGCATGCATTATCAAAGTCAAGGGTGTGGTATAGGTAAAGAAAGAAACATTTTTTAGTTTAGGTTTTTGTTTTTTAGTTTATGTAAAAACTAAGTAAAAAGCAAGCAAGTTAAAAACCCAACCAGCACACTTCAACAACAATGAACAGAACAAGATGTTTAGTCTTTTATTAGCAGAACACTTCATTTACAAAACATGCATTCAATCAAAAATGTAAAGACAACAAATGTCAAATTACAACAGTAACTCTTAGCTTTACTTTAACACAACTAAATTTGGACAGATCATACTAACACTACTTCTGTCACCCACATGTGTTCACAGGATTCAACAAAGGCCCCATCATCAGGAGTGGAACAACTTGCCTACACCTCTTCATCTGGCCTGGAACACAAGATGAAACTGGCAACATTCCATACAAATGCTCTCAGGTGACTACACCATGTTCAAAGTGTTTAGCACTAGCATGTTACAAAATACTTCAAATAACTGCTATGTAGTACTCAAGAATCTCACATTCAACAATAGCATTAAATAATTCAAGTAGCAAATAGTTTTTGTACAAAGTCAAAAACAACTCTCTTAAATACATTTCATACCTTTAAAAGTGAGGTTCACTCGGCTCCAAACTGAAGGACCTCTGAGCTCGGCTGGTACATCTCCACTACTTTGGCCATGATCTAAACCCAAGATGCACATTTTAAAAACGTGTCCACAGAAACGTTGGGGAAAAAAATAAAACTAAATCACACTAACAGTAACAGACTTACACCCTTAAAGATGCCTTCGTCGGAAATTCACTGTGCAGTATTTGCTCTTTCCAGCCCCGATGTCCTGTAAACATTTCACAACACACTATAAACGCTGTCGAAAAGTTTCATTTCAAAAACTTGACTTGTAACAGAAACCAGAGACTTTGGACTTCTTGGCGTCGCGGAGTCCACCTGCCCAGGTGATGGCCATACGGGTCTGCTGCTACACCTGAAAGGAATTAATCAATTTCATTTCGCACACACGCTTAAATAATGAAAACGTAAATTCGTTCCCTCGACAATAATGTGTCGTCTTCTTCACGGATGTCATCGTTACAATTCACTACAAAGTGCGAGGACCACTTTAAATCCCCACAGAACACGTTGCTGCTTCAACAACACACATGTTTGGACCAGTCAAACCAAACGGTCTTCGTGCAGATATTTAGGGGCCAAATAACATCGTGGTATCTCATACACTTCAATAACACACTGACTGAAGCATTTTGTGCAGTCAGAACTAGTTTGAATGTGCAAACCGTGCGGTTCAAACAGGCTCCTGTTTAGCAGCTAACCAGCTGCCCCAATC